AATATAACATGTTATGTTTTATGCTTTCTCTACAAAAAACAATATTTAAATAGATATATTTAATGTAATAGTAGTGCGCTCATTTCGAAGATTGTTATCACATTATTAGTATGAGGTAGTGATAAAAATAATTATCTTCAATAATGATTACACTACAAATATTCATTGAACTCAATTTTGTGTTATACATTTTACATTCTAGCTATAAGAATATTAGGATAATACTTAGGATTTTCCAATTTAATCAAAAATAATTAATATTTATAATAGAGAGAGAACAAATAAATTGTGACGTACGTGTGACAGCTTATTGGCATGAAGTTAATAAACATGCCAGCTAGTTTCTCTATATAGGACGTGTAATGCACGTCTACTTACCGGCTCTATAAACTATTTCATTTTTAACGATCCAGTTGTTAATCCTCATGAAAAATAACTATACATTCATGATGAAAAATAAATTTTGCCTAAGATATATAAATGACTAGAGTAGATAGGATGACATTATAAAATTTTTTCTTCGTAGACATGAAATGTTGTAATAATCAATTTTAAAGACTATTATTATTTAAAGATTACAAGATTATTATAAAATAATTTTAAATGTATAATATCAATACTAAAAATTGCACGTTTAAAAGAATCTTTTTCTTTTTATTAACAGCTCTGATTTTTATTTTTTATAGTCATTAATTATTCCTTCACTGCAAATCAGTACTTTGATATTATTATATACTGTTATTAATTAAAATTGAAAAGGGTATTATAATGATTTTACTTAATTATTTAATTATTTAACTTTCATAATCAAATAAATTGTTGTTTCTTTTCTTCAATTACATTCATAGTTTAGTATCGAAAAGTGAGGCCAAAAAGAAATAAATGTTTTTATTAGATGCGTTTTTATTGCAGATTATTGATATTCAGATATTATAGGTGTTATTAAAAATACACGATTTTCTTCTATGGTATAAACGGTCTAAAAGTAGTATTTAAAGATTAATAAAAAAAAAATCAAATATTTTTTTATTAACAAGAATCACATTTATATGGGATATTTAAAAATGACAAAAAAACATTTACTTAAAAATATAATATTTTTTCTATAGTGGCTAATGTTTAGTTCTTTTTGGACCGTATATACCATGACATCATTTGTAAAATACCATTTGCGATTCAATCAATTTAGCACTATAATAATGCATTTTTATTGCGTTTACCCAGTGCATTCTTTATAAGTACAATAGTTTCAAAATGTAAAAAGTTATAATTCATATATTTATAATGTAAAGATTTGGATTTTTTAAAATCAATATTAGCATTATTAATGTTATGTAATTGCATATACATGTGAAATATACGCATAATTGTTAACTTAGAATAAATATTAAAGAACAGACAAATTATTCATAGATTACTTATAAAGAATGCTAATTGTCAGCTTTTCGAGATCGGATTTTTTTCAAGGTTTTTATGTTTAAGATATTACATCATTTTCATGCAAAATATTTAAAAAATTTGCAGCATTACAAAAATATATAACAAATATAAATATAATACTTTATTTTGCATTTTATAAGGAAAATTACGGTCGCGTCAAGTTGAAAATTCTAGGAAAATTATTCCTGAATACATTTATGAATATAATAAACAATTACTATATACTATTTTACTTATAACAAATAATAAATAAAATATAATTAATAAAAGCATAAATTATATTGATGAAAACAACAAATTTAGCTACAAAATAGGATAATAGGAAAGTAACAAAATGAATGAATAACTGATATTGTGTATTAAGAAAAACAGTTGAATATTTATATACTACTGTCCCATTTGTTGGTTTCAATAATCTTCACTTTTTCTTGTCTTGTATATATCAGAATACTATAAAAAACCACCAATAATATCAGAAAATGCAGTTAAATTATATAATTTACAATATTCTGATAATTTGTAATTTTTGTATTTCACATCTTACATAATATAATATAATTTTTATGATATAGAAATATATATACTCTTTGTATTCAAGAGTTGCATTTTTCTTTTATTTTTATTTTTATTTTTATTTTTATTTCTTTTCATATACATAGATACAAAATATTTGCAAATTATATTGTAATTTCTATTATATTTATCTATCATAGTAATTCTTACTGTTGAAAATATAATACCTATTTAATGCTGATTTATTTTCTAAGCTTTATATACGCTAAAAATATGCGTATGTGACACAATAAATAGCATTTCATGAATAATCTATTTTCACGTAAGTGTGATGTAAAAATACAATGCGCAATTAATCCATTCTTCAAATTTTCAGCTGCATTTAAACTTTGGAATATGTCATTTTTGATAAAATATATAAATTACTATCTTTATACATTTCTTATATATTGGACAAAAAAACCAACAATAGGGCAGACAAAATTAAACAATATATTTTTGACAAAATACAATAATGCAAATGCAAACGTTACATACTCTGTTTTGTGCGAATGATTCTTCTACTGTCCTAAAAAAAATTGGAATAAAACCATATTGTGATATTTATTTATGAACTAGTTGGACATTTATAAATTGCCTGTTATTTCATGTGCAAAACATGTATAATAGAAAGCAGATTGTTTTTTAATATAGAGGAAGAATTATCTGCACACTCCAGGTAAAAAGTACATAATCATTAGAATATTGTATAATAATAAATTCTGTAAAATAGTAGTATGGAATACTTAAAAAAGAAATTTCATGATCAAATTTACCGAATTTATGTTATGTAAAACTAAAAATTACTTGCTATAAATTTGTAGCATTTTTATTTTCTTGTAATTTTAACATTAAATTATCATGTTATCTATCGTGTAACAATATTAATCTGAGATTAGGTATATTTATTTGCAAATTTATTGTGTCCAATGTTTATACAATCATTGAATATTTATTTTATAATGAACCAGACAGCAACACATTCATGATTCAATGTAAAATGTTTTTTATTATGTTTACTGTGTTATGTGTATATGAAAATTTATATTCCTGTCTATCGAAATATCATAAAACTGCTTAGATGAGGAATGATAGTATTTGTCATTTCTACGTTTTTCTTAAAATATAAAGAAGTTGTATGTATTAAATATAATTCATGTCGATAGATATTTATACATTTAATACTAAGCATTTTTTCTGTGAAATACGAGGTAACAAATGGCTGTATTACTGTGATTATATAATAATCCTTTGCTTGCAATTAAACTCATTCATTCAGTATGTTGATATTTTTGCAAAATTCAGTGCAGTATCATGATATATAAACAAACACAATTTTCTAATGTTATATATACCAATTTAATTATATAATAATGTGTATTTTGTAATTACTTTCAAATTATATCTAAAATATATTTCTGTAGGACATTCCTTTAGAAATTGGTAACATTAACATTAATGATAGTATAAAATAGTTATACCATTTTTTTATTTTAATATAGAAATAACTTGAATTTATGTAACTTTTCTTTTTTATTCATTTATATGACATTTTTATGTATAAATTTTAATTAAGCGACATAATAATAAATTAATTTTATATTGCTTTAATAAATTTTAAAAGGCTAATAAAAATGATCATAATAGCAACAATATTCTATTATTATACATCTTAATTTATGTAAATGTGTGCTACTATTAGTTTTATTTGATTTCGATGTTAATTTTTACAGTTTGTTTCCAAAGCATCACAGTCATTTGCATCCTCATATTTTCTACAATAAAATTGGTGTTTAGTAACAATTAGTAAATTATAAATTAAAAATTCTTATTGAAATTTTAATTATAATACAATATACTTTTTTGGTAATAGATCTGAATGAAATAACCAAATAAGCAAATAAAATATTAATACCGTGCACGAAAAAATAAACTGTAAACGGTGCCATTATATGTGAGCAGGTTTTTGAAAGTAATAATAAAGTTACATTTTGCGTGAAATCTGTTAATATTTTTAATTTCTAGAGTTAATTCTGCATCTCTAAATATTAATAAGAATGTTATCTTTTTATTATTACTTATTTTTATGGAATATATAGTATAACACATAATATAGTATAGTATAATATAATATAATATAGTATATATAATCAATCAAATTTCCTCTGATTTTAGAAATGCAGAATTACATAGAAATACCCATTAAAATATTTTACTATTCTTACGATCTTATAACAAGATGGTCTTCCGGTACAATAACGTTTGTGTAACCTAATGTTCAACAGAGCAATTTGAAAACACTCTAAAGAAAATATTTATAAATTATAATCCTAAGCTTAACATATACGTCGTTTTCTGCAAGTGCTATGTCAAGTTCAAACATATTCAAGAGACAGAGAAAATATATTCATATTCTGTATTTTATAACATTTAAAGCATTGTGTACTATTCATTATAATAAATTATAATATATATTTTACTCATGTACAACATGAAACGTTGTACGAATGAATGTGATGCTGTTTTTAGAGTTGATATAGCTTCGTTTTGTCTTCTTGTGATTTGTATTCTTATTGAAATTATAAAGATAATTTCAAAAATTTGCTAAATAATTATACTTATATTAAAAAGTAGAGCTATATAGAATGCAGTTAAATAATAAAAATATTAAGCTTGTAGAAATTTCTTGTCTTAAAAAGTTTACATTTCAAATAAAATAATCAATATATTTAGTCATTTTTGCATAACACAGAGTAATATTGACTTCCAAATATCTTTACATAGTTAGTTTTTTAATTAATAAGTATTTTCTATTCGATTGAAAATAATAACGTTTATTATTTATAAGCTAAAAATATAATTTTTTATGTATGAATTAACTGATGAAATGACTAACACATACACTTCGCTCATATAATCGATTTTTTCAATTTACAGAATGGTTAACATTTCTATCTGTCAATTTTATTTTTCTAACCCGAAATTTATGATACATTCTTGTGTAGTTGCTCCAAAAATAAGAAGTTTTTCAATATGCATATAAATGCATATTAAATTATTACGCATTTATATGCATATAAATACTTATTAAATTAATGATTTTTCATGCTTTTGTACTCCATGTACAACAGAGACGTTCAAAATTGGTACGTAAGGTTTATTACCCTTATCCCCATTCTTTTTTATTTTTCTAAACAAATTCTTGCTTTCATCATACCAATACTTTCCTCAGTTTGTTTACTATTATTACATTATAATAATCACGATATTACTGTTTAATCTAGATTGTGCATTATAATATTTGAAGATGCCAAAAGAGTAAACATATTTAAACAGGGATAATCAATAAGCAGTAATAAGAGAATTATTTCTTCTTCAATCCAAAATTTGCACGTCTCTGATGTAGAATATTGCTTAAATTCATGTAAATATTATTAATGCAGTATATAAACTATAAACTACTATTCTAGAAAATAATAACGAATAATGATCATATAAATATTTTTAAATCCAAATAATTGAAAGAACAATAGTATAGGAAAAGTTAAAAAATTTTTTAAGTGGTTACTTCTGGTAGAGATATTCATAGATGCGCATTTTATATGACTGTTATTCATTCTAAAACTCATATGATCTACTTTTTGTATCATTCGGATTTTATACGTTTCTAAAAAAATTTCAGTACGAAGTAACTTCATACGTATAGTGTACAGCCGTGACTATTGATAATGTACCAATGGATTTTACATCGATAGGAAAAGATTTCCCTTCCATTAATCTTACTATATAGAATAAAATATGATTGTTTTTGAAAAATATTCATATGTATCTGAAATATATAAATGAATCGAAAAAATAAAATCTTGGTAAACAAATAAAAATAGTAGCTCAAATTATAGTTGTTTAAAAATAGAACAAAGAACTACGCATAGTTCTCAATTCACATAAATATTGATTTTTTACTATATATGATCATTACTAGGATAACAAATTGAAAACCATGCGTTAATGAGCAATCAAAACATCAGATAATACTTACTTAACAAACATTTATTCGATATGTACTCATATATGTAAAAATAATTGATACAATTATACTTTCTGTATATACATTAGAACATTTGAGTAATAATATACATAATAAGATAGAAGGAATGGGAATCTTTTATTACAGTGAAATTCAGTAGTTTAATAACTACGATAATGTACACAACTCGCTATTATAATCTCATGAAATAATCTACCCACAAAATGGGTGTGACTAATAATGTGTAGAAGATCAATTTTAAAAATCTAAATTTCCAGAATAATACTGTCATGGGTGTTAATAAAATAACAGAATTGAAACTTTAGAGATTGTCATAATGCAATTGGAAATTTGATCTTTAAAAAACTGTATATTACTTACATCATATTTATGATTCCATACGCTTTATGTCGTAATTACAAATGATTAATAATCTTATTAAACTCTATGGACCTTTTTTATTCAGTTGAATTATTTTTTTTACGGTTTAAAATTGCCACACATTTGTACACGTGAAATTTATACTAATTGCAAGTAAACCTTATCGTAATTCGTCATTGCTTATTTTTTATTGTGTTGCTGTAACATAAAATTCATGTTTACACACTGAACATATATAACATACAATGGATTTTTATATATGTGTACAATAAAATAGAAGTAGGAATTAAAAATAAATAATGTTATTAGACTTTCCTGCACGGGTCATCGTGCATGGTTCTGTATTTTACCAATTTATTTAAGAGTTTTTTTACATTGGATCCAAAAAAATAAATGTTATTAATAAATCTAGTGCAAGTATTTTATATAGTAGTATGTTCACTTAAAATTAATTTCATTTTTCGAATTCAAAACCATTAAATATTGATTTTCGTTACCATTATTTAACCATATATAAGCTTGTCTGCATTTATGTATTAGATATATAATATATTACAACAAATTATTATTACAAAGATTGCTTCTATAATGTTTGCTATATCAAAAAATTTGAAGACACACAAATAATCTTTTTTAAATCTTCTAAATATTTATATTATTAAACCTTAATAATTGTTTCATTTTCTACTTATTGTTTCTAAATAAAAGTGTTTATTAGAAAGAACTTTCAGGCGTAGGTTACCAATTATTATATCAATGAAAATTGATTAAACAACATAAACATATTTATGTATACATAAGTCTATTAAAAAATTACATGGATTATATCGCGTCATGACTACAAAAGTGATGCAATTTGAAAATATTAGTTTTTTTTTTCTAAAATATAATAACATTTCTAAATTTTATTATAATTTTAAATTATTGTATTTGTTACAGTAATATATATAATACATAAGAATGTCTTATATCTAGAATTTTAATATTTTTGCAAACAGTGATGCTTAAATGACCTACTAAAAGTATATTATGTATATTTCATATGGATATAATAAAAATGAAAGCTGTAACTTTTTTATAGAAGAACGCGTTCGATATTACTACATTCCAAATATTAATTTTTCATCCGTAAAGTACAAAAGCATAAATGCGCTTTACAGCGATCAGAATATTAAAAAATCAAACCGCACTACAAACTAATAATGTAATTTACAAAAGTGCGTAACTATTGAAATAATTTAATGTTTTATTGTATAACAAAATTACTGCACATAAATGCAGCAAGATTCCTTCATTATCACTGATAATTGTAGTATATTCTAATAAATATCAGTACAAATTCAATAATAAAGATAAAAAACATCATTTGAGTAAATAAAATACTAATAACTCGTATTTTTGGCAATACAAAAGTTAATAAATATTAAAATAGTATAGTAGTTATATTTAACTAATAAATAAATTTCGTTCTAATATTTTTTTGATGAATAAAAATTTATATAAAAATAATTATTATTATTATTATTATTATAATGGTGAAAAATATAAATACCAATAATACTGATATCGATAATAATTATCTTATGGCATACGCGTAATTTGTAGGACGATTTTCATCATTGCTTCTTATGCTATGTTTAGGTAATGTATTATAAACATTGTAAATCAATAAATTGAATGAATTCAAGTAAAGTTATATCTATATTTTTTTCATCGTCATAAAAATAAATAAATTACTTTAGTATCTAATAAACGAGTTAATGAATTCCCATTACTTTTACTAAATGCCAGGAAATTGGAATCGAGAAAATTTTCAGAATTTTATTTGATTAAGAATATAGTGTTTTAGTTTGATTAATTTTATTTGTAAATTCAATAACTACTGCCACACAGATAATTAGCAATAATGTCCTTTTTATATTTTTGTACGGAACCTATTGTTAATAGCAAGGGACTTATTAAATAGCTCCCCTGTTTATTTGGTTTTGGAAAATCCTGAAGTCCGGGTTAACATAAAAATGTGCTCAAGTGATAGTGATGTATGGATTAAAAGCCTATACATCACTATATATACTTTCAAGCAAATCAAAATGTGAAAATAAAATATATTTTTGTTTCATTAAATTTTTAAAGTATATGTATATATCTTTGAATACATGCTTGTGTCATAATAAGACATGAAAAATCACAACCACCTAGTATTTATACCATAAAGAATCTAGCAATCGTCTATCTAATGACGATTTGAAATATGATACTTCTAATGAATAATATTGTTTACAATATACATCAAAGTCTTCGATTTTATTTAAAGGTATTATTTGATATTTTGATGGTTCCTCATTAGCAGGCTTATATCCTTCCAAATTAAGAATAGTCATTGACATTAATATAGTACAAATTATTTTGATATTAATACATTATGATAAAATATATTATAATTTATGATTCTATATGACTTTCTCAATGTATTTTTAGATAAGTTATAAATGCTCCTAAGCAAACTTTATCCGCAGAAATAGTTCGCACAGGATCAATTACAACAGCAACAAATGGTTTTTGAAAATTTTGACTAAGCATTTGTGTAGATACATCAATATCAGACAACCCACATCCATAACCTGGATGATTATAATATCAGCCAATAGCATTCTCTTGTTTGCCGACCTATACGGATATTTTAATATGTTAATAAAAACAAAAACATTATATTCTCTTGATTTCAACTGTTTTGCAGTTTCTATATATGCAGTTATATATTCATATGCTTGAACTTGTGCATTACCCTTATTTCTGTCTCTTCAACAGGTAATGCAAAAGAATCCATAACAATCATTGTATTTGCTGTTACTTTTTCAAGCAGAAGACCCATTACCTTTAACGTTCCACCAGAATGTATGCATTACCATTTTTAACGATGCTAATGCTAAGATTTTAATATCTTTGAAAAAATGAGGACTATATCGAGAAAATCCAATACATTAGTAAAATTAAATATGATTTTTACTTATTATGAACGTCTAAAGAAAGATGTTAAACTTGTACAAATGATTATACATTTATATTAGACATATTCTTTTTCCCATGGGTTAGCTGCCAATATATCTTGTTCTTTTCTATCATATCTGTATATTTCATCGACTATACTGATTTTAACATTATTTAACATCTCAAGTTTTCTAAGCAATAATACTTTGATCATTGGATATACTAAACATTCTTTTACTTCCTCATAGCTATAAACTATCACAAATTAAAGTTAATTAATTAAATTATTTTTCACGATACCTTAAAAAATATAATTGATTTTATATTTAATCGAATCTATCACATATTACATTAAATATTAAATATTTGCAATAATACAATTATAATTAAAATTATAAAATAAATAAATAAATAAATATATATATATATATATATATATATATATATATATATATATATTATTACATATTATATATGTATGTATATATACATACTTATATATATAATTATTATTTAAATATATATAAATTTTGACAAATTTACGCAGATATCAAGTTTATTATATATTATTATAAATTTGCGTAACGTTTGTCCTTCTTAAGCATAATCATAAACAATCACTTTTAAAATAAATTCATAAACATATCTAACACCAATCGATGTATTATAAGTTTTTAATAACAATATGAAATTATTTTCTTACTCCAATTTGATTTATTTTCTTAAAATTGTTAATAAAACATTTAATAATCAGAAGATTGTTAGACTAAATCGCTATACCTGAAATATGAGTACTTCTTTTGACATCTGTTGTTTTTATCTAGATTCATATTTGAATACTTCTTTAATATGCATAAGAGTTATTGACAATGATAATTATAAATTTTACGAATATCTAAAAATCTATATAAATATTATTGTTTAATTATTTTTAATTTTCTAAAAATAACCGATTAGTTTAATATTAAAGATGAAACCAAAACCTAGATTCAATTCAACTATAATAAAATTAAAACATTATGAACTTATTTATTATTTATATTATGAACTGTTTTTTAAATGATTGTTTAACATATATATTATTGTATATCTAATCACTTAAATTAAATTGTTTTTCTGTTCGTATTTTGATGTTCATTATATTTAAATTAAAAAAATTTTAAAGAAACTAAATAGGAAAAAAGGAAAAGTAAATGTATTGATAATTAAACCTAGTCCTATTTACAATATTTTATACATCAAATTTATTATATGAAAATCTTTTAAAATGACGTCAGTTTAGAGCTAAACAACTAGATTGGTTTACTTGTCAAACTTTCACGTACCACTCTTTCATTTACACGAGTTTGTGTTCACACGATCTTCATCATATATATATAATAATGGCGTATTAAATCTTTTCATTTATATTTTCATACACGAACAAAAATAGTAACATTAAGTAAGTAGTTAAGTATATGTATTTGAATCTTCTATTGAAGTTAAAAGTTAATTTAATTATTATACAACGTAAAAGATAAAAAAATATTGTAAATCGTATAATTTTTGATGGTTAAAACTTGCTGCATCCTTGGATGCTCATCGGGAATAAAAGTCCCCTCGCATTATTTTCCAGGAAATCCGAACATGTTTATAACTTGAAAAATTGCTTTACCATCGCTCAACAGAAATATATTAAACGATGATGAATTAAAAGAAATGACAATATGTTGCATTTTAGACTTTGATTATGTTACAATAGGTTATAAATATAGAAAACTTAGACAAGATATTATGCCAAGTATGAAATTAACACCTATGAATATTAATATTTTAAGAGAACAAGAAGTCAAAAATATTATGGTAATTTATTTCTGTTTATCTTATTATTACTTTATATATATTTTTGTAATTTTATTATATTATTTTGCTAAGAATTTCAGCATAGTCAGGAAATCGAAATTTTGAAGGACGATGGAAACTAGAATGTGAAATCATCGTTATTATATCTTTGAGAATTAAATTTATCAAATGAAATAATAGAACTTAGACCTAAATCGACAAATTTATACGACAATCTATAAACTAAGAAAAAACAAAACACGCTGTTGAAGCGAATATCATTGTTCAGATGGAAGTTAAAGCAAATTGAAAAAAATATATATACAACATAAAAACACTTTTGATGTCCAAATTACTATATACACACAAGCAATTTAGACAACTTACATTACGTGTTATTCGATATAAACCAAAGATTTTAAAAATGTATCGTAGTAACAGGAAAGTAAAAGCTTTAGCTGCTAATGTTAATATTTCGATGTCAAAAGAAACAAAAGAATGAGTATATATAACATTTAAAACAATTTTTTATATATCGCTGGATAATAAATTATACGTTATTGAAATTACAATGTAAATAATTTGGAATTAAATACTAACTACAGGAATGAACTACAAAAAATGTTAGTGTTTGGATGTTGACGGAAGTAATGATATTACTAATGAACATATTGCGCAATACTAAAATTAAAAAATAGAACGATTGATCGTTTATAAATAATAAATTCGAACAATTATAAGTAAATAATCAATATTTTTATTGATAATAGAACTGTATATAATAAAGAAAAATGTTTTATTATACGATTAGTGATATTTTTTCCAAAATAGCGACAGAAATTGCGTGTCAGGTATTCAACAAATTGTTAGAGAAAAACATTTGACTGAATATGAAAATACTAGATGTTATTTATAATGTCAGCCATTTGCAAGTTTACGTCTGTTCGTTTGTTCAAATGAACAAAGCACGAAATACATAAACTTCCCAGGTCACACCACGTGGAGGTTGCTGCAAAGGTGACCCACCCCCGGAGTGGGGTTGGGCCCGGGCCCAATTTGAATCAATTATAAAAACATACATGTGACCAATTCTGTTTGTAGGATCGTCGTATATTAGATTCCAACCAACTCGCGCTAAAATCGTGACTTATACGAAGAACATACAACCAGAATGTTCTTTTTTTATTTATCCGGAAAAGGGGATGGGTGATCCGAATCGTCACCGATCCCCCGAAAGCCATTGTATATAAGCATGATGATCCGTTTTCCTCCAACTGAATCCTCGAAGATTATGCAGCATGCTTTCCGACTGGCACCTTGTTTCTTCTTTGATGCTAAAAAACCTGAAAATTCGAATACGAAAAATCCTCTCGAAAGGATATACATAACGAGCCACTGACAATGATTTTTATCATGCAATAACAAAAGTCATTACCTTCCATTAGGTTATAGAAAAAAGCACCAGATTAGATGCACCTCCTATAGAAACAATACGATTCGCCGAGGTTAGGAAAAATAGTGTGAAATGGTGTAGAACTTAATTATTCTACCTCTCATTCCACGTGCCAGTTTTGCATCGGACGCCAAAACAGAGAATACATGTTTTCTATGTTTCCATTCCTCCGCAATGACCAAAGATCCCTAGTGGGTGCATATCTCGCATACATCTACCCTGCCTATGCCCGGCTTAAAAGAAGCCGTATTAAAAAGGCGGTCAGGAAATAATTGCGGGATTAAACCGCGTAAATGTTGTGGAGATATGGTCACGCAACGCGGAAACAAAAGACAATGTAAGCCGGAAATAACCTCCTGGTAGGCCACCCATCGGAGAGATCACCATCGGCTAGAATCGTTCTTTGGTTAGCGTTGTTGACGAGACAGAAGAAAAGGAAAAGAAAAAGATAGGATACGCGACCATATTATAACGATAGGCTAGTGAAACTAAGCTGGCACTTACCTCGATACTCGGGATTATCAACGTCTCGTTATGATCCGTACTCGAAGTCCAGCCTGAAACGGGATAACTCTATAAAATAAAAAAGTATTATCAAAAATCTACGAAGAATTAAAAGCGTTCTTAATGATTTGGAATGAAAATACTCGCGAGCAGCCAGTACAACTGCATCTGCCACCCGTTCAAGCTGAACTGAATTGCTATTTCGTTCCAAATGATCTCGATGGTTTGAGCAGTGTTGCCAATATAGTAATAACACTCAAATTCTATAAGCTGATTGGTTAATTTTCACTCGTTTCATTTATCTAGTACCACTCTCGACATCTATAAGAAACTAAAGCGCCATTTCGTTTATCTTTCTCATCAAATATATCATATTATTAACAAATTTTTATATAATTTTATATTATTTTATATATTAAAATTAACAAAAAAATACAATAAAATAAATTATTGTATTTGTTTTGTTAAAATTTAAGAAATAATTTTTAGCGGTTCTTATATAATTCATTATTACTTTCCAACGCCGTTATTTTTTGTCCTTATAATCTTAACGTTACATATTTAATATTTGTGACTACTAATATTAAAATATTTTCTTCCAATCTCAAAAGCAATTTTTACTGTAAATATTATTTTAAGTCAAGAGTTCAGAATGAGCGTAACTTTCTTAATTTTTCATTATTACAAAATAAGAGAAACAATATCCACTTTTTTATGCAAGGAAGTCTATAAAGAAATTTTCTGTTAATTATACATTGTTTATTATTCACATTAAAGAAACATTATTTGTTGAAAGGCATTTTCATGTTTATTTGCTATTTTTAAGGGGAAGTAATAAAATAAACTTATAGCTTTTGAACAACCAATAGCAAGCCAATAAGGATTTCCTAAAAAAATATTAAATTTGCGAAAGTTTTACTTAATAACTTACCCAAGACTTTTTATAATAAATTCAAATTAATATATTTATAAGATAAACGTACAAGATGTAGATACAATGAAGAATGAATGAACAAATAACAAAATATTTGGCTGTAGCATTTGTCTTCTATTGAAAACTCCATTAAACCTTTTATTATAAATGTAAATGGTAGCAACAGTCGTTTAAGATTAAATACAGAATCAAATTTATTATGTTATTTATATTCACATTCATAACAAATTTAAAATAAAAAAAATACAATTTACACAAAACTTTTGTGGCAACTATATCCAGTTCCGGAATTTTGCCCGGAATATATTATAGTATTTGAAGGTTATGAATATGCTTCTATCCGAATCAGTTGCATTTGTTTTCCTCTAATGATTCGACTCTTTGGGTAGATTTTAAATTGTAAAATCATTATAAATTTATAGTTTAATTTAAAATAAAAAATTGTTTCAATAAATTTAAATAAACTTCATTATACCAAGAATTTAGACTTATGGAAATATGTTTAAAGGATCGATAGAAAAAAGATAAACAAGCGAAAAAATTCACCTTAAATATATGTATATACATTTAAAAATTTTTTAACTTTTTCGCTTCGATACGTTGTGAAAATTTCCGTGAATAGTAAATATCACTGATAATTCGATATTGTCACTCGAAGCGAAAATGTTAATAAGTAAATGAGCTTAAGTTCGATTTAAGTTTCTGACATTGAAGACATATTGTTGTTGTATATTATGAAGCAGATTGCGGATTTACTGTTTTGTGAAAAAAAAGTTTTTATTATCACTAAACAAAATGGCAGATTACCAACTTACAGAGGGGTATAAACGCCATTGCTTGTTGTATTATTTCCAATTGGGATTTAACACAATTACGACAAAAAAAATTTGTCACGTATATGGGAATATTTTGAAAGCAAATGAGTGGCGATATTGGTTCAGAAAATTTGCTAGAGATGATTTTGACTTATTTCATAGTATTCGAAATCTACGATCTACTGAACTCGATAGTGATATTTTAAAATCATTGATTAAACAGGATCCGAGATTGACCATGAAAGAAATAGCTGACATACTTCTGCATCAAAAATCAGCGACGAACAATTAACATGTCATTACTGACTGCGAAATGAAGCGATCTAAGTATTTTTTAGTAAAATCGTAATCGATGATGAAAAATAAATGCTACACAGCAATTTAAAACGCTTCGATCAATGGCTTTCTCCGAACCAATTAGCTATGCCATTTAAATCAATATATAGATTTAAATTAATATATAGATTTAAATCAATATATAGATTTAAATATTGTTAAAACATCAGACATATGTTTGTAAACATGTTTATTGTATCATTTATTATGATTCAATGTTTCAAAAACCAATTGTCATTATCATTATTCGATTATATTTATATAATTATATAAAAACTCTTTGCAAAAAAGCCTCAAGATATTTATAGCTATTTTTCAATTTTCTAGTATTACTGTTAAAAATGATATATTTGCAGATATAGTGCTAATTAAGTTCTATGAATACATATTGGTGTATTTGATATTTATAACAATAGAATTTCCTTTAATTATTATTTAAAACATTCAGTTTTTAGTATATATACATTTTGCCGACAAATTTCATGAAACATTTTTTAGATATATGAAAGATGAAAGTAATAACTATAGAAAATGTCATAGAAAAATGTAGAAGATAATAATAAGACTAGGTAATAAAGATATGATTTTCTGATTTATCAATGTTTTTACTAATAAATGATCATAGTAGAATTTTTTCTTAGCTCTTAGGGGTTGATATGTTATATTTTATCAATATGGTCAAAGTCTTTATGATTGATTTGGATGAAGACAAAATTAATGATATAATATTAAATGTACAAAAGGCTATCTTTTCATCATTAACACATTGTCGCACACTTTTAATTTGACGATCGTGCTTAAAAACACATCTTTTTTTTAATTGTTTATGACAGCAATATGAAATTGAGCGTCAGTCGTCATGTGCAACACAGTTATAGCTGTCATTTGCCTACATTTCGCTAAAAATCGGACGGCTGTAGCCGTCATTTGCGGCAACGTGTTAAATATAGTAATCAATATAATCTGTATAGAACTCTTTTACAATATATCCTTACCAGCGATATGAATCGCAAATATTAATATTAAATGGGATTACAAGAAAAACATTCTAAATTTTGTTTGTGATTTCAATATATATATTTTTGTTTATATATATCACGAAAAATTAAGATTTATTCTATAATACAACACAAATTTTTTTGTTTTTTAAATTTATTATCAAACTTTTATCAATAACGAACACAAAAATACATTAATATCTATAATTATAAATGTTTAAACATAAATTAAAAGTATGGATTATATTTTTATGCATTATTTGCATTCATTTTGAATGATATGAATACATTTATGCTTGCATTGATATTTCACATGTATATTCTATAATTTGAATATAATATATTTAAACAATATTCTATTTCTTGTAATTTATAATTAATATAAACATAAAGAACAATTTGAATGTGAATAAATTGAATAATGAAGAATATCTATTACTATTTAATATGTTTAAATTAACATAATAAGTTTAAATAACTTATGATGTATTTTCGGATAATAAATGCGTTTCTTGTATAAATGGTAATTCAATAAAAGGATTTTGATTATGTTCTAATGTTTTCAACATTTCAAGTATTTGTAAACATTGCGGTTTATACAGACATAAAATTTCTAACTGCATTTGGGCACACTTAACTGCAATATAATATTATTTAAATACTTTAAATATATATATCTATATATGTATATATATATATAAAACCATTTTGGTATACATTTTTATAAGAAATTACCTCTCATCTTTGATATTTCATCTAATATCATTTTTAAATTCAAGTCAGCTTTTTGTATTTGAGGCAATATATCACAATATTTAGACATTATTTTGTGATATTTTTTTAATAAATACAACTTGTAAAATAGAATCTTATTGAATTTTTCAAAATTTTTATTTTAAATTAGATAGTTCATACCTAAAAATATATATAAAAATACGTATAATACAAATCGTAACATATAAAATATATATTAGTTTTGATTGGACAATATTATTCAATCAACATTCAGTAGAACTTATCTATTATTGGTTATTTCGTTTCTTATACTAGAATCGAGTAGTCGATTTATAATCTTTAGATCACAATGTTGTCACAAGTTACTTTGTTCTTTTTTGCACTTGAAGTAGGTTTCATTGTTTCTTTTAATTCTAAGTTACCTATTTTTAGAAAAGATTGCTTTCTTTCTTTCTTTCTTAATCAATTATATCTTAATTGATAATATTGATTATCTTAAATCTCATATTACATATATGAAATATAGCGAAGTATAATAATACAAAATGTTCCCTATAAATACGTATATGTATGTATACATATAACATATGCTTATAGGGAAATTTAATAAGATTATGTATTTACTAGACGGTAGCGTGTTTTATCTCACATTACAATAAAATTATAGAATTACGTAAGATATCTAATCACATAAAAGATAAATTAGATCATGATACTAAAAATATTGATCATAATATTTATATATTTATAAAATCCAAAATGGTCATACTTCTTTTTTATTTGTTAATAATAAATAAAAGTGTAAATTCCATTCAGCAAATTTTTAAAATGTGAAAAAGTCACACACAGTGTGTACATTTGTAATTTGTAATGACCCTAAAAATTTACCGCGCACGATAAAGGTTGTAACGCAACAGCAACGCCATCTCTCAGATATTAATAAGATTACAAATCCGTATCACTTTCACATAGAGCATCACAACATCTTTCCATAGAAGTATGAGCTAAAAATTACTTGAAAGTGCAATTGCTTTCCTTTCTTTTTTTTTCTCTCTTGAAAACTAGGGAAATTTAGTTGTAATATATAATTCACCAGACGGAAATATTCAGCAACGACGTGAAATAATTAATAATTTATAATGAAATTTCATTTCATTAAAATGATTTTTTTTTACAAGTTTATATAAAGCAGATAGAAATTCAACGAAAAAAGCGTTTGAGATAAATTTATTAGTAATATTAGCACCTAAGGCGATACCGATTGTGCCGTCTATAAACTGAATATTTTCAACCCTTACCAGGTACGGTCGAATTATTCACTTCGCGTTTGTGGTGTTCGCATTGTATTGTTGTGTTCGTAATGTGAACACAAATTTGATTTAAGGTAATATATTATAGTTTACTATATATTTCATCATCATTTTGTTATTTTAGTATAGTAATCTTCTATATAGATACTTGAAATGTATATTGTGTTTGTCCATCTTTGATCAAAACATCATAATATTCTAATTTACGTATTTGTGGCGTGATTGTAATCTTTTATAAATTTTTGTAATTCAGAGCTTTTTTTAATCGCACTTCATAAGAATTAATAAACGTACAATATTGCTTACGTATATTTCGTCTTATAATCTCTTATGCATATGGAGATTATATTATAATTATCTAACCTATATAAAGATTAAAGCGGAGTTTTATAAGTTAGCATCTTATGTGATATATCGAAAATTTTTCCTATTAAATTTAATGTTCCTTTAATAGAATTATGAAATGCTATAGTGCTGTATGTCTGTATCCGTTGTGTTTCATATACATTCTATATAAAAAGCTTTATTTTTATTTGTATAATGTATAAATTGATTACGAGTTTTATTTCATGTTTTCTTATTATAACAATTTTGTTTCTATACTTTTATGCAGTTAGAAATATATAAAGTGTATGTTACCCTCCTTTTCTCTCAAATATGCAAAGGAAAAATATGTAAATATTGTTTTATATATATTTTTGTTTAGATAAACTAAAAATTATTCAATATATGTTTTTATAGGAATATTTATAAAGGTACTAAAAATATATTACTTGCATTTCAATTCTTTGTTTTTATTTTATATTCATAGGATACTTAAACATCCAAGATGTCAGTCCATTATAAATTTAAGTCTACATTGGATTATGATACTGTTTCTTTTGATGGACTTCATATTTCTGTAGCAGATCTTAAGAAAGCTATTTTTCATCAGAAACGTATTGGAAAAAATACTGATTTTGATCTACAAATAACCAATGCTCAAACAAAAGAAGGCAATTTCTTTTTAGTATTATTTTTATTTTTTTATATATATTATTAATTTGCAAAGAATAGCATATTTATAAAAGAATTTCATTTTTAGATTATACAGATGACAATGCATTAATAGCAAAGAATACTAGCCTTATCGTTGCTAGAGTTCCATTGACAATTCAGCAAAAAAGATCCTGGGACCGTAATGAAACACCCCCATTCAGTAATTTAAAAGATGAAGCCAATTTGGGACGTGCTGTAGATCTTACTAGGCTTGATGGTTCAGAAGAAGATAAAATTCGAGCTATGATGACTCAATCGACTCAAGACTATGATCCATCAAAGTATGTATATGAAATTTTCAACAATTATATATATAAAATCCCATCTCTATATTTTTACATTTAAAACAATTAATACATTTACATTTAAAATAACATAAAAACAATTAAAAATATTCTATTAGATAAAATTTATTAAATATATATGATATTCTTATATTATACTAATTCTATTTTAATGTTATTGTTATTGTTTTTTTTTATTATTATTATTGTTATTGATAGATAATAAATATTTCTGTTTGTGTTTCTTTAGTTACATGAAAATACGTGGTGCAAATCAGACAGGAGATGTACCTACAAATTATCGTTGTTATAAATGTCATCAACCTGGACATTGGATAAAAAATTGTCCTCTTGGTACAAATCAAGAGCCAATTGAAATTAAAAAGAGTACAGGAATTCCTAGGAGCTTTATGGTACCAGTTGAAGGTCCATTAGTACCAGGTGCAATGATGACACCTACAGGACAATATGCTGTTCCTGCTATTGATCAGTAAGTTTTTAATTAAGAAATAGATTCATTGTAACATTGTAAATAATGACTATTGTAATTATTTTAGTCAAGCATATAAAGAAGGTAAAAAAGAAAAGCCACCATTTTCTCAAGATCCTGAGCCTATTGTAGAAAAGCTAGAAATACCAGAAGATCTATTATGTAACATCTGTAAGGATTTGTTAACTGATGCAGTAATGATACCCTGTTGTGGGAATTCTTTTTGTGACGAATGTAAATTCATCTTTTTAATGAATATAAAGTAGAATTCTACAGTATATATATTGTTCTCTAATATTAATTATTTTATGTAACAGGTATTCGAACATTTTTATTAGAATCTGAAGAACATGAATGTCCAGATTGTAATGAAAAAGATGTTTCACCAGAAACACTTATACCAAATCGATTTTTACGTAATGCTGTTATGAATTTTAAAAATGAAACTGGATATGCTAAAAGACAAACATATAGACCTGCTTCAATTAATCAGTCAGTAATGCAACCAGAACCACCAAAAATTGAAATACAACAACCTACTCCACAAGCCACTAGCCAAGCTAAAAGTGTTCAAACATCTAGTGTTGGTAATACATTGGTAGAATATGTTGAACCATCTGCTAATTTTGAATCCTTGCCACAACAATTTCCATCCACTAGTGCACAACCACAAACCGCAACAAGTGAGTATTCTACTTCTTTTTTCTATGTATTTATGTGTTGAAATCAATTATTTTTATTGCATGATATTCATTAAATAATAAATGCAAGTAATAAACTTTCAAATGAATATACTATTAGTTACTACACCATTATTCCAAATTATTATAAATCTTATATTTTTTAATTTTATATTTTCTTTTTACCAAAAAAAAAAACAAATAAAACGTAATTATATAATAACATATGAATAGATTAATATTTATACACACATTAATATTTAAAAGTCTGAATGTTATAGATTTACACTTCATTTTGTTACTTAACTTTCATTAAAATCATGCATAAAGAATTTTGTGTATAAAAATGTCGTTATAAAATATAATTATTATAAGAAACAGCAATGAGGGAGAAAAATTTATTTCCAAATTTTGTTATCCTTTAATTTTAATTCTTACGCAAAAGTAATGACAGCCGCCATTATCGATGTGCGTAACGAGTCTACTTTTAATGTCATATACTTTCATATGTTGCGATAAAAAAATCATGAGTATATAATGTTATATCAATGATTCTTTGGTAGACTCTCAATGTAATGTGGCGTAATTGTGTAAGTCAAAGTTTATTTTACCAGCTGATATTTTATTGTACCTAACCTCAATTAACTAAATGTAAAATTCATAATAGAATAGTATAAACAGTTTAAAGTGTTAGGAATCTGTAATATTTATAAATATTATTTATTTTTATTTCTGTTATATATTAATAATTTTATTTTTTATTATTTCTTTTTATTGTAGCACTTCCTGAGTCAAATTCTGAATCAGATTTACAAAGTGATTCAGTAACAAAGTTAACAACTGATGAAGAAGCAGAAGTTCCACCACCACCAGGAACAGAACCATTATTACCAATTCCTGCTATTGGCAGTTCACCAGAAAGAGATCGTGAACGAAGTAATCCTCCTAGTCGTGATAAAAAAGATCGTGACAATGACTATAGTGGAGAAAGACAATCAAGAGAAAGACGAAGAAGTTTTAGTAGGGATGGTCATCGTGAAAGGTTTGTAAAAAAATACAAGTAATGTTATAAAAAAGTATTGCAATATAATATAACATGTTTTTCTTAAGATTGGGTTCTACTGGAAATTATAGGAGTGGAGAACGTGGTCGTAGGATGGAGAATTTACGGACAGTGAGCCGTAGACGATCTTTATCACCTAGGCACTCTCAACACAGCGATTATTCATCTCAGGGAACGACATTACCACATGTAATGAACCAACCTCCTTCAAAAACTTATCAAGGCATGTCAACAGATGACGGACATTATTCATCCACTATACATTATGATAGTGGAATGCGAAGGTCAACAGAAGATCGACCTGGAACTCCCACTGTAAGTTTGATATATAGAAATACTTCATTACTATTTTGTTATATATTATACTATAATATAGAAATATATTTATATGGAATGTTTACAATTATAGGTCGATGAACCCCACTTACATGTTCCCTCTTCTGCAAATCAACCACCTCTACTACCTTTCCCACCGGGAGAAGATCGCATACCACAACCAAATTATAATCAACCTCCACCTAATGCACAACCTCATAATCCTCCACTTCTACCAGATCCATATATGACTCACCGTATACCAATGTATCCTCATCAACAAAGCTCTCATTATGGTCCACCAAGGTATGAAAGACCACCTTATCAACAACAGGG